TTTGTATTAGGAAGCTGTTCTAGAGCAAAAGGTCCATCGTTGTGACTATAAGAAGCTGGTCCAGAGCAATGAGGTTCATCGTTGTATCTAATAGGAAGCTGGTTCAGACAGAGCAAGGAGGTCTATTGTTGTCATTATTAGGATACAGGTCCAGAGAGGTAAGGCGCTTCATTGTCATTATTAGGAAGCTGGTACAGAACAATTGGGTCCATCATTGTCAGTCTTTAGAACGTTTTTCCAGAGCAATAAGATCAATACAATGCAGTCAGCATTGGAGTGAGAGAATCTACATGGGAAGTATCTGGGAAAGACTAGCAGCAGATATGCAAAGAAGGCTGAAAAAAGATTAAAAATAGATTTTCTAAAACAAAAAGGCATTTTTTATGACACCGAGAGCTTTTGCACTTCCACTATAAGTACAATTTATGACAGTCTTGCTCTGGAGGTCAATGATACTTTGCCCCAGTAGAACAGAAAGTGCGAATCTACAGGTGGAAGCTATGCAGGCTCTGTAGGCTATCACATGATCCACATACATGTAAGTACAGATTTTTGTATTTAGTTGGATATGCAGGTATATAGTAATGGGTTCTGCATATAGGTCTGTTTCTAATTTTACATAGTGTCATCATCGGTATAACAAAGTCCAATGAAACACCCAGAGATGGAAAACAAGGCTGGTGTCCACCAATAAAGAGGAATGGGTAAACATTCAGACGACGAGGGAAAAATCAGAACCCAGTAGTCTACAAGTTAAATCAGCAACAGATGTAAGGGAAAATAACACAGTGGGTGTGCACTGAGTCACGGGCGGGGAGGGTGGAGAGCGGATAGTTTTATTCTTAGGATTTGGGGGGGGGGGGCTGGGTGTATGTAGCAAGGCAAACAAAGAGTGCAGCAGGTACAGGCAGGCTGTCTCAGGGCACCGGGTTGGCATGCCAGGGGAAATCTGCATACCGCAGGACAAAAAAAGTTTAAATGTGGACTTCCTGCAAATTAACAAGTTGGAATATCACGCAATCGGCAGTCATTATTTTATTTGCTTCACTTTTCCATAAAGTATTAGTGTACAATGAGCCAACCAGGCCAGTTCCTGCACCAGTGGAGCTTTACCGGCCCTACAACAGTCCCATAGACGCACATATTGTAATGCTGACTGTATATGGGGCCATTTTGGATGCTTTCCACCAGGAAACCATCACCATCAGTCCTTTTACCTCCCACAGTCATTTCCCAGGGTCATACAACCAAACAGTTGAAAATGGATCAAAAAGGTCTTTCAACTGGCATTGCGAAAAGTCTAGATTACTGGGGAGACTATTGAAAGTAGAGGATTGGCTGATTTTGTGGACTCCTAAATTCCATTTTTTATATTGACAGCAGCTACAAAATGTCATCATTTCCACCAAATTGCTCTGTGTATGCCCAGGTGGCCACGAGGCTAATGGGACCATCACATTAAAGCACCGTAACCGGCCCAGGCGAACCCTGCCTGCAGTGATCGCTGCTTTCGGGGTTGTGGTCATCGTGGAGATGTGTTGCATATATGGTGGTCATGCCCGAAACTGATTCGTTTTTGGTCTCATGTATTTGGCCTCCTTTTCACCTTTCTCCATCTCTCCATATACTGGGATGCTTGGTACGCTTTGCTTCATTGTCCCATACCGGGCCTGTTGGCTCACCAGCAGAAGTTGGCTTCCTATTTGTTCTTGTCAGCAACTAGAACAATTGCTCAGGCATGGAAGAGCCCGTCTGTCCCTCTTCAGGGGGTGCGGGACCGTATGACCACTCTGATGCTCGAGTATCTGTAGCGACTCCCAACGGAACTTTTTGAAAATATGGGAGCCGTGGTTGACATATGCTTTTCCCATGCTCCCCCCCCCCCCGGCTAGTCTGGGGTTGTGATGTTGTTCGGTGTTGGCGATCCCGGACCCCTGCTCCTGCTCTTGTCTTCTTCCTTTTCTACTCCTTTTTCCTTTCTATTTTTGCTGGCTTCTTGTGAGGCGGTGGATAGCTGCCTTTGATTTGAGCTACTGTCAGTGTTATATCACATTTTTTTTTACTTTTTATGTGCCATTGATAGCCCCTGCGTGGGAGTGTCTTGTTGCTCAAGTCTTGTTGAAATGTTACAAATTAACCCCCCCGGCGGTATTCCCGAGTGTAGCTTGGGGTAAAGTTTCAGCACCAAAAGCGGTAACCCCGAGCTACACTCCGGAATACACTGCAGCATTGCACAGGGATTCCCTGCAGCACTTACCTTGTCCTGCGCTCCTGCGATGTCCCTCCTGCAGTGTCCCCGGCAATGTCCTCCGGCGGATGCCGGCATCTGTCTTCCGGGTTCCGTTCCCTGCGACATCGGGACGTACGGGGGACAGAACGGCGGGAAATTTAAAAATGTTAAAAAGTGACATTCACTAAATACACTAAAATCACATAGTATAACATTCCTGTATCAAACCATTTCACATACATTTTGTCCCGAGTGCTTTGTCCTGCACCCTGCCTGCATTTTACTGTTCTTTCTGCCTGGAAACTGAGAAGCGTCCAAAAAGCGTCCCTTTAGGTCAAAAGTGATTTTAGACCGGCTAGAGAACAGCGATAGTAAATCAGAACCACTCGCAGAATTCAGTGATAATGATTCGTGGGGGAAATTCCTCATCAGACACTGAAAACGATTCTGCGACTTTGCTCAGCGATGTGCGAACTTGGCGCTATATTTCACATTTCAGTGTTTTTGGTTCAATTATATTATTGAATTAAATGTATTATTATTATATTATTATTATTTTTTATGATTATTTATTAAATTATAATTTATGATTTCGTGTTTCAAATTTTATCCTCCCCGGGATGTTTACTAGACTCTTGTTCGGACAGATTTCAGTGAGTTATTCCTAAAAATTACAGCCCTACAATAAACAAAATACATATTTCCATGCAAAAAATGTACCGCTTTGAGCACAGAAATACTGACATAATCAGACCGCTAGGGAGGTTAATAAAAACCATTGAAATACAAAGCACCATAACCACATTAGAGCGTAACTGCACCCCCAGTCCCCCTTTCCATTGGCCATAAACATAATGAATTTTGGTTCGCTACCGGCGTTTTGAACACGCGCATTGTGCATGAGGCCTTACCATTGACAGGAGTGTTACAATAATCAGCTTTTAATCAGTTATGTAAAATCTTTATCCCAAAAGGAAAAAAAAATCTGTTGCTGTAACTGCTTATAAAGTATTATCTTGGCTTCAATATTTAGTGTATTTAAATCTCCTATATTACCAATACTGCTGTTTGCTGTGTCCCCTATGCACCTGCATCCAGAGTGGAGGCACTCTACTGGCCAGATCAGCAGGTGAAAACAGAGGGAAAAAAGACTAAGGCCTGGTTCAAACTGGTGCGTTTTTGTTTCTGCACACGCTCCATTTTTATCTGCTCTGAACTGTACTGGAACTGTGGCAAAATACATCCGGAATGCACCTAAACGCACAGGAATGCACATGGCTTTATTTAGGTTTGGTTCACACCAATGCATTTTGTCCATTTTGCAGTGAATTTTGTGTTTTTGCGTGCGTGGTTTTTCCACGTTTTGTGTTTTTTTTTTTTCAGCATTTTTTTTGTTCTTTTAACTTAAATGGGACATGTTTTTGTTGCTGGGCATAAACAAAAATGCGACAAAAACCCACATGCATTTCAGTAGAGTGTCCACTGAACAATTGTAGCTACTTTTTAGTTTTGAAAAAGTCCCTGACCCTTTCCAAAATCGCAGCAGCTCAAAACAGCATAGATGTGTCCCATAGGAAAACCACGTTAAATGGACTGTACTGCGTTTATGCAAAAAAGCAAACAGCACTAAAAAATGCATTGGTGTGAACCAAGCCTAAAGGGGAGAAAAAATGGGGGGAAAAAGTGCACCGGAACACATAAAAAACACACATGCAGAAATGCATCTGGAACGCATCTGGACTGTGTGCATCCGGACTGTATTTCTATGGTGTGAACCAACCCTCAAAAAAGAAAACGAATGCAGCCACCACATCTAAATATGGTAAGCTGCAATATAATACATTTGTTGGTTTTGGCTTTAGTATCCCTTTCACTCCACTGGTGGCCCCTTTGGCACACTCCTGCCCAATATCCTTTATTTAAAAAATTTGAAGGAGTCAGGCAGAAAATTGTCAGCTGAACATCTAATTGGATTCAGTTGCTGTACGGGTGTTCTGACAGCCAGCAGTGCCAACTGTCAGAATATAATAGCTGCAGCAGGTGATCCATCCATCTATGCTGTGTAGTGTGGATGGAGGAACATTTTAGATTTTCTTTTTTGTACACTATATTGTCAAAAGTATTGGGACGCCTACACACACACACATGAAGTCTTAGTCCGTAGGGTTCAATATTGAGTTGGCCCCGCACCCTTTGCAGCTATAACAGCTTCAACTCTTCTGGGAAGGCCGTCCACAAGGTTTAGGAGGGTGTCTATGGGAAGGTTGGACCATTCTTCCAGAAGCACATTTGTGAGGTCAGGCACTGATGTCGGGGGAGGAGGCCTGGCTCGCAGTCTCCGCTCTAATTCATCCCAAAGGTGTTCTATGGGGTTGAGGTCAGGACTCTGTGCAGGCCAGTCAAGTTCCTCCACCCCAAACTGGCTCCTCCATGTCTTTATGGACCTTGCTTTGTGCACTGGTGCGCAGTCATGTTGGAACAGGAAAGGGCCATCCCCAAACTCTTCCCACAAAGTTGGGAGCATGAAATTGTCCAAAATGTCTTGGTATGCTGATGCCCTAAGAGTTCCCTTCACTGGAACTAGGGGGCCAAGTCCAACCCCTGACAAACAACCCCACACCATAATCTGCCTTCCACCAAACTTTACACTTGGCACAATGCAGTCAGGCAAGTACTGTTCTCCTGGCAACCGCCAAACAGAGACATGTCCATCGGATTGCCAGACAGAGAAGCGTGATTGGTCACTCCAGAGAACATGTCTCCACTGCTCTAGAGTCCAGTGGTGGCATACTTTACACCACCGCATCTGACGCTTTGCATTGCAGTTGGTAAGGTAAGGCTTGGATGCAGCTGCTTGGCCATGGAAACCCATTCCATGAAGCTCTCTACACACTGTTATTGTGCTAATCTGAAGGCCACACCAAGTTTGGAGGTCTTTAGCTATTGACTCTGCAGACAATTGGCGACTTCTGCACACTGTGCGCTTCAGCATGCGCTGACCCCACTCTGTCATGTGACGTGGCCTACCACTTGGTGGCTGAGTGGCTGCTGTTCCCAGTTGCTTCCACTTTGTTATAATCCCACTAACAGTTGAGCGTGGAATATTTAGTAGCCAGGAAATGTCACGGATGGACTTATTGCACAGGTGACAACCTATCACGGGACCACGCTTTTAGTCACTGAGCTCCTGAGAGCGACCCATTCTTTCACAAATGTTTATAGAAGCAGTCTGCATGCCTAGGGGCTTGATTGTATACACCTGTGGCCATGGAGGGGATTGGAACACCTGAATCACAGGATATGGAGGGGATTGGAACACCTGAATCCAATGATTTGAGGGGATTGGAACACCTGAAATCCAATGATTTGAAGGGGATTGGAACCTGAATCCAATGATTGGAGGGGATTGGAACACCTGAATCCAATGATTTGGAGGGGATTGGAACACCTGAATCCAATGATTTGGAGGGATTGGAACACCTGTATCCAATGATTTGGAGGGGATTGGAACACCTGAATCCAATGATTTGGAGGGGATTGGAACACCTGAATCCAATGATTTGGAGGGGATTGGAACACCTGAATCCAATGATTTGGAGGGGATTGGAACACCTGAATCCAATGATTTGGAGGGGATGGGAACACCTGTATCCAATGATTTGGAGGGATTGGAACACCTGAATCCAATGATTTGGAGGGGATTGGAACACCTGAATCCAATGATTTGGAGGGGATTGGAACGAATCCTGGAACACCCGAATCCAATGATTTGGAGGGGATTGGAACACCTGTATCCAATGATTTGGAGGGGATTGGAACACCTGAATCCAATGATTTGGAGGGGATTGGTACACCTGAACCCAATGATTTGGAGGGGATTGGAACACCTGAATCCAATGATTTGGAGGGCTGGGCCAATACGTTTGGCAATATAGGTGTCCATTTATGAACCAGCGGTAATAGATCGCTGCTCAGTTCTCCGGCATTCTCGGAGAACACAGTTCTCCTGTGAATGCAGTTTATGAAGCAGTTCTCCAAACGAAGGGAGAACGATCTGCAAACGCTGGAGAACGGTCTACAAACTCTGGAAAACGGCTGATTTTACTATAATCTCATGAGATTACAGTAAAACATCAGTTTACTAAACAGAGGTAAATTATCTCTGCTTAGTTTGCGGTCCCTCTGATTCTCCAGCTCTGGGCTGGAGAATCTGGAGGGAGAACACAGATCTCCAGAGAAGGGCTGACATGATCTCCTGAGTGTCATAAACTGTGAATGACCAGAGAATAGCTGAGATCCGTTGAATCGCAGCTATTCTCTGTGTCATGAACGGACACCATAGTGTATGTGTGGACAGAGTTAAACTCCCCTGTCCCTGATCCAGCAAGGTATCACTGGCGAGATCGCACATCTGCTGGTCAAAAATCTATGTGGCCCAAACTCCTTTAGAATATGAGCAGGAATATGGGAGTAGTCTGAGAGAGGACTAGGGACATGGTCTAAGTGCCCGGTCATACCAGTGCGATTTGCGAATTGAAATCGCACCTGAAATTGCATGTAATGATTGTGAATATCAGTGTCCTAACAAGTGCGCTTTGCTGCAGAGAGATTTCTAAAGTAGTACTTGAATTACTTTTTATGCAGTTTTGTTGCAATTTCACATACATAGAATGTAATGAAAATCACACCTGGATATAAATCTTCACAAGTAGCAATTAAAGTCTTCAGAAAACGCACCTGAAATTGCGCGCAAATCGCAGCAGTGTGACCGGTGACTAACTGCATCAAAAGGTTACAGTTTAAAGTGGTCTTTTTAATACAGAAATCAGTTCTGACCGGTCACAATATACATGATATTTTTCTAACAAGTTGTAGCTTATCCTCGAGTAACTCCACTTTTGTTGAGAAAAAATGTACATTGCAGGGATTTTGACAAACGTTGCTGTAGATTCCTACCTTTTGTTATTCTGAAGAAATAGCTGTTTGTCTGTCTGTGTCCGTGTGCAGAGTGAATCTGTATGGGAGGGTTTTATAATCATCAATCAGCTGCTGCACCTGCAGGGCTCTAATGAGGAAAGTGGCAGGGTCTGCATCCCTATAGACGTGATTTCCTTTTGGGAGTATCTCACCAACATTGACATTATTGTTGCAGGGGATGCCCAAAATCTGACTTTAGTGCAGACTTGTGGGAGAATAAGGGAGCCAATCACACAAGCAGGAAATGACATTTTCAGGGGGTGCCCTGTACATCATCTATGTACAGAACACCTCCAGGTCGCCATATTGCATTTTACAGAAAATGACAGCTCTGCAGATTGAAAAGGAAAGTTCATCTCTAATAACATTCAATAACAATATGACTGATGTCGCAATTGTATACGCTATATTATAATTTATTTTTTTTATTTCCTATTTTTCCCCACGAAAGTGGAGTTACCCTTTAATAGAAAGCAGCCCTGGTACTTCAAGAAAGTGACTGGGTCTATTTTGAGAGGTCAGAGCGAATGACGTCACCAGTATGCTGCAGGCAGTAGGAAGCATTTCTTCAGATCCCTCTCCTCTGGTGATCACTCACTGGGACTGTACAATGCTACTTTGGAGCTGATGTATATAGAGCAATATATGTGCACACAACACTGCGTAGGCACACTTACATCAATGTTTTCTAGGACCAGAGGCGGACTGACAACTCATGGGGCCCCAGGCAATAGGGGATCATGGGGCCCCTGTGTCTTCGCCCACACGCAAACCATACTCAAAAAAGCCATTGAAAGGTACCATGGGCATCTCATTGGGGCCCCCTACTGACCCCGGGCCCTCGGGCAGTGAACGAGAGCCCGAATGGTCAGTCCGCCCCTGACTAGGACATAGATTATAGTGCAGGAGTTGGATGCTGACCCCCATCTGTTGCCTAAAAAAAAAGATGGCGCTGTCATTCTGGGGAGAAAGGCAAAGTAAAGCATTACCAGTAGGGGGAGCATGCGATCATTAAAATGTGTTACCCTCTCACATTACTCAGCATGGATGTACTGAACAAGAAAAAAATATATACAATGTCCGGTCTGTTTTTACAGCAGCAGCCCCAATTTCCAGGTTTCTGCTAATGATTTTTAAATGTATTAAAGGAAACCTTCAGAAAAAAAAAATACAAAATATAAAAAAAAAAAAAAAATTTGCAGAGCTATTCGTCTAACGGTACTGAATGTACACTCGCTCTGTGTTGTCAAAATCGAACGTTACTCAGCTTTTTTTTTTTCTCTCTAGGTCGGATGTTCTTCATTCAAAAGAATTAATCAGGACAATACCACAATATGACCACTAGACGGAGCTGCCAGTCATAGTAAATCAATTTTTTACTTCCTGTGATCATCCGCTCCATCTAGTGGCCGTAATGTGGTACTTTCCTATTCCTATGAATGAAGAACATCTGCCCTTAGAGAACATAGCCTAGTAACAGTAGTTCGATGTTCCCGGAACGAATGTACGTGTAGTATTGCAGGATTTTTTTTATGAACACACCCAAATTATCCACATTTGTGGCAAGTTTATCTTAGAAAAAGAAGTAGTTGTCATGTCCAGACAAAAAGAATAGTGTATTTGCTGGTCACAAAGTACAAGATCATTAGATCATTATTTTTGCATCACCTATGTTATCATCGTCGTGGCAGTCACAGCAGGCGTTTTACTTACTGAGCCCAATGACTAATTGGGAGGACCCAAAAAAAAAAAATTGGCCCGGAGGAGATTATGAAAAGGTCAAAGGTTAACTGAACTTCTATTAAACGTTTTCTAATCTGGTCCCCACACCTTAGCTAATATTGTTTCTTGCAGTGATTCCCACCTACCTCCTCGGCACACAAGTTGGCAGTTAGCTACAACTGGTGGTAGAAGGCTCCTCTAGTGTGGGGGTCCAGAAAGTGGAACCATCATTGGGGCCTGTAGAGGGCTCCAGTCTGACCATTGTTTGAGCCAATATTTTTGGGGGTCCAGAAAGTGGAACCATCATGGGGGCCAGTAGAGGGCCCCAGTCTGACCATTGTTTGAGCCAATAGTTGTGTGGGGGTCCAGAAAGTGGACCCGTCATGAGGGCCTGTGAGGGCCCTGTCTGAGATTGTTTGAGCCCTAGTGGGGATCCACTGACCTGTCATGGGGGCCTGTAGAGGGCCCCAGTCTGACCATTGTTTGAGCCAATGGTTGTGTGGGAGAGTGGATCCACAGAGACCATTGGACCTGTCATGGGGGCCTGTAGAGGGCCCCAGTCTGACCATTGTTTGAGCCAATGGTTGTGTGGAGGTCCAGAGAGTGGACCCGTTATGGGAGCCTGTAGAGGGCCCCAGTCTGACCATTGTTTGAGCCAATAGTTGGATTTTTAAAGAGAAATTATTTATGGAGATAAACAGGAATATTGTAATTGTTCATGAGTTCATGCTTTTTTTTATTTATTTAGGCATTGGTGTTACCAAATCACATTATTATTTTGAATTTAATGTTCCAAAAGTTCTACCTTTTATCATTAAAAAACTATCCTTGAGCCTCAGGTAAGAGACTTTGCCTAGGTTGACAAGATGTCATCAGTCTGCTGCAGGAAGGAGACAGTATTTCCTCAATCTCTTCTTCCCCCAGTGAACAGACTGGGGAAGTGACTTTGCCTAGGCTGAGATGTCATCAGTCTGCTGCAGGAAGGAGACAGCATTTACTCAGTCTTCTCTCCTCTCAGTGAACAGACTGGGGAGGTGATTTAGCCTAGTCTAAGATGATGCCATCAGTTTGCTGCAGGAAGGAGAGAGCATTCCCTCAGTCTTCTCTACCCTCAGTGAACAGACTGGGGAGGTGACTTTGCCTAGGCTGAGACGATGTCATCAGTCTGCTACAGGAAGGAGAGAGCATTACCTCAGTCTCCTCTTCCCCCAGTGATCAGACTGGGGAAGTGACTTCGCCTAGGCTGAGAAAATGTCATCAGTATGCTGCAGGAAGGAGGAGCGAGTATTTCCTCAGTCTCCTCTCCCCCCAGTGATTAGACTGGAAAAGTGACTTTGCCTAGGCTGAGATGATGTCATCAGTCTGCTGCAAGAAGGAGAAAGAACTTCCCCAGTCTCCTCTCCACAGTGATCAGACTGGGAAAGTGGCTTTGTAAGTGACTGGGGAAGTAAGTTTGCCTAGGCTGAGAAGATGTCATCAGACTGCTCCAGGAAGGAGACAGCATTTCCTCAGTCTACTTATCCCAGTGATCAGACTGGGGAAGTGAGTTTGCCTTGGCTGAGATATTATCAGTCTGCTGCAGGAAGGAGAGAGCATTTCCTCAGTCTCCTCTTCACCCAGTAATCAGACTGTACATTGAAACTTTATAGCAAATCACAATGAATGATGCTGGAGCAGGGCCTAATCTATGTCAGACAAAAATAAACTCAAGGCCCGGTCACACAGATGCATTAGGGTAACACGTGGTAAAACACGCACTTTTTCCACAACAATCATTACCACATTAACTGTGATGCGATGCATTGTGGTGCCGTTCATTTTAGGGTGCACTCATCCTGGCAATTTTATGCCCCCATGCTGGGGTAGAGTTCCGGTTTGTTCATGTAGTGTCCAGGAATTATGAAGCGTACAGCGCCCAGACCACTTAGAAGAGGTGGTCCAGGGCGTGGTTCATTTGTGGTCCGACACAGTTTGCTTTGGTATGAGTGCGAACCATCCGTGAGCGCAGAACTCTCCATAGATCACTGAGCACAGAAGTAGGGATCTCTGTGGTCTGGGTGGTGATGATGAAGTGTAAGTGTGCCCGGGAAAACTCGTTTGTAGCACAGTGTGAGTGCAGACCAGAGGAGGAGAGGGGGACAATCAAAGTCAGGCAACCAAGTGTGAATGCACTCTTAAAGGCCACCACAAGTTGCTACTTCAATAGGAGGCATCACACATGAAATGCAGCCAGGGCTGCTGACAGAAGCCACGGGTCCCCATACAGCAAACCTGACAGGGCCCTCCCCCCAAAAAAAAACACAATTTACTATGCTTCAGTTATGAATGAACACAGTGAGTGATCAGTACCGATCACTCATTGTTTTCAATCTGGAGAGTAAGGGGCAATTATTGGAACCGATCCCCTGTATCATTTTCCCTGCAGCAGCTGAAAGCCGGCTTCTTCTCCTCTCCCTCCGGCTTTCAGCTGCTGCAGAGAGAGCCATACAGGGGATCGGTTCCAGTAATTGCCCCTCCACACTGTGCTGATCACCCTCCCTGCCCACATCCGATTCACATAGCTGCCTGGGCCCCCCTGCTGGCCTGGGCCCCATACAGGAGGACTGGTGGTAACCCCTTATCCATGGCCCTGAACGTCGCGCACCCCAATGCGCTTGCCACACATTGTGGTGTGCGCTTTAAAAAAAAAAAAAGGGATCATGTCCATTTGTGTTTTTTACTCCTCCCAACATCCCTTTAACTGCTTCCCGTCCACCCTACAGCAGTAATACTGCTACGGGGCGATACGGGTGTGCAAAATCACGTATATACACGTGATTTTGCATTTCTGAGTAGGGAACGTGAGCGGCCTAAGCTGTCGATCACTGATCGAGGAGGATTACCGACGGAGGGAGAGAACTGTATGTAAACAATACAGATCCCTCCCGTCAGCTCCTGCACACTGCTTTGTATTGCTCTGCATAGCATTATTATTCTTCAGATTTTTTTTTTTAACATAAAAAAAGTAATTTTAACATATATATTTTTACATAAATGTATATTTGTATTTTTAAAGACATACACTATATTTGAAAATGTATTTTTAAAAATATTTTCATATATTTTGTAATAAAAACGCATTTGAACATACAGTGTATATATATATATATATATATATATATATATATTATATATATATATATATATTTATATATATATACTGTATGTTAAAATGCATTTTTATATATGTGAAATATATCTTAAAATTATTCTTCCCAAATATATTGACATATATTTGAAATACTAACATTTTGGCCATATTCAATATATATTTCAAAATATATTTCAATAAATATATATATATATATATATATATATATATATACACATACACACACACACATACATATATACAGTATGTATATATATATATATATATATATTTTTTTTTTTTTTTTTAAATATATTGAATATGGCCAAAATTGTAGTATTTCACATATATGTCAATATATTTGGGAAGAATATTTTTAAAATATATTTCAAATATATTTTTCTTCCATGTGCTCGCTGCCAGCCGCAAACAGTGACCAGGAGCTATCGATGACAGCTCCGTCAGTATGCTTGTAGTGCGCAGTGAGTCCCATGGATGCCTATGTACGGCAGCTGGGTGTAAAGGCCCACCCTGATGCTGCACATATATGTTACACATATGTTTTAAAAAGGGCTAAGGTCCACTGACAGCCCATATAAAATTGCTGACAGCGTTAATGCAGTGTACCTTAACCTCTTCGCACCAGCCGCACGCAAATGTGCGGCTTCCCAGCGTCTGGGCCTTGAAAAGCCGAGCGGCTACCCGCACATTTGCGTGCAATTAAGAAAAATACACATTTCCGGTACTCACGGAAAGGTCCTGATCAAAAGAGGAGATCAGGACCTTTCCCGATCATGTGACCGCCGTGATGGCGAATCATGGCGGTCACATGACCTTAAACCCTGCCCCGCCTCCCGGCTTCTGAAACCCTTAAAGGGCAGGGAGGCGCTGGCACCAAGGGGTTAACATATGATGTGTCGTGTCCAGGGGCGGACTGACAACTCATGGGGCCCCCGGGCAATAGGGGATCATGGGGCCCGTGTCCTTGCCCAAACTCAAAAAAGCCTATGAAAAAGGTACCAGAGCCTACGACCATGGGCCCCCTACTGACCCCGGGCCCTCGGACAGTGCCCGAGTTTCCAAATGGTCAGTCCGCCCCTGGTCGTGTCAATATACGCATTAACCTCCGAGTGTAGCTCGGGGTAAAATGTCAGTACCAAAAGCGGTAACCCCGAGCTACACTCGGGCTTACCATGCGGCGTTGCATAGGGAGTCCCTGCAGAGCTTACCTTGTCCTTCGCTCCCGCGATGTGTCCCCTGCAGCGTCCCCGGCCATCTCTTCCGGCCGATGCCAGCATCCGGCTTCTGTGTTCCGGTCCCTGTGACGTTGGGACGTACGGGCGCCACCGGCGGCGGGAAATTTTAAAATTTTAAAAAATGTCATTTTTTTCCAAACAAATTTTTCATAGTAAAACATTGCTGTTTCAACCCATTTCACATACATTTTGTCCCGAGTGCTTTGTCCGGCGCCCTGCCTGCATTTTGTCTGTTCTTTCTGCCTGGAAACTGAGAAACGTCCATGGCGTCCAAAAAGCGTCCCTTTAGGTCAAAAGCAGTTTTAGACCGGCTAGAGAACAGCGATAGTAAATCAGAACCACTTGCAGAATTGAGTGATAATGATTCGTGGGGGAAATTCGTCATCAGACACTGAAAACGATTCTGCAACTGAGCTCAGCGATGTGCGAACTTGGCGCTATATTTCAAATTTCAGTGTTTTTGGTTTGTTTATATTATTGAATTAAATGTATTATTATTATATTATTATTTTTTATGATTATTTATTAACCATTAGCCGCCCGGCCAATGGCCGTTTGGTGGCTTGAAAAGCGCTGCAGCTTTCCGGGTGCACGCCATTTGGCGTGCTCCCGCACATGCGCGGTTTGTGCGGTTGCAGAGCGACGCAGCAGTGCGATCTGTCACCGCCCGTGCACCTCGGACACGGCCGATGACAGATCCGAGTACCGGCTCCCGTTGCCGGTACCATGTGACCTGCTGTGACCAATCACAGCAGGTCACATGACAGTTGTATACAATGGATGGCTTCATTCATGATGCCATCCATTGTATACTAGTGCCTAGCTGTGAATGGTCACAGCTAATCACATGCACATGTCATGTGATTAGCTGTGACCAAATCACAGCTAAGCACAAAAAAAAAAAAAAAAAAAGCTGAATGAATCGATTTCATTCAGGTAAATGCTTGCTTATAGCAAAGTAATTCTTTGCTATAAGCAAATTGCGTAAAAAAAAAAAAAAAAATACTGATCACTTCCCCAAAGTAGTACAGTGTGTTACTATGGTAACATTGTACTATTTTGGTCATAGTAAAATATGAAAAAAAATCTTTTAGTAAAATAGAAAAAAATGTAATAAAAAATTAAATATAATAATAAAATTAAAAAAAAAAATATATATATATATAATTTTTTTTTCATACTGTCACCAGTCAGTGTCGCTGTTCACCGCCATGCCAGTTATATGATGACGCTGTACTGCACTGGTGACAGTATGTAAAAAAAAAAAAATAGTGAAAATAATTTTTTTAATTTTTTCATTTTCCTAAAAATTATGACAAAAAAATACAACTTCAAAAAAACTCGCCATGCCTCTTATGAAGTACGTCGGACTGTCTACTCTGCAAAAAGGGGTCATTTGGGGGATATCTGTACTGTTCTGACATTTGGGGGATATCTGTACTGTTCTGACATTCTTGACCTCAAGAAATTAGATTGGCTGTCAGTTCTTCAGGATTGATCAATATTCAGATCTATACCATAGTTTGTGAACTCTATAACTTTCCTACAGACTAAATAATACATCCTAATTTGGGTTATTTTCACCAAAGACATGTAACAGAATACATCTTGGCCTAAATTTATGAAGAACAATTATTTATTTGTAAACTTTATAACAGAAACAAAGAAAAATGTGTTTTTTTTTTCAAAATTTTTGGTCTTTTTTTGTTAATTTAGCAAAAAATAAAAACCCCAGCGGTGATTAAATACCACCAAAAGAAAGCTCTAGTTGTGTGAAGAAAATGATCAAATTTTAGTTTGGGTACAATGTTGTATGACCGCGCAATTGTCATTCAAAGTGTGAGAGCGCTGAAACCTGAAAACTGGCCTGGGCAGGAAGGTGTAAAATTGCCCGGTATTGAAACGGTTAAATTATAATTTATGATTTCGTGTTTCAAATTTTATCATACCCGGGATGTTTACTAGACTCTTGTTCGGACAGATTTCAGTGAGTTATTCCTAAAAATTACAGGCCTACAATAAAAAAACTACATATTTCCATGCAAAATAATGGTACCGCTTTCAGCACCAAAAATCTGAAATAATCATACCGCCAGGGAGGTTAACACACGGCATAGTGTGATGGGGCTCTAAGACCTGTGGTCACAGTGGACAGCTCAGTGGGAGATCTCCCGGAATACGGGGGTGAAATGTAGCCTTGCTCTGAATCAGCTGGTAATGATGAAGCAGAGTGAGCGTATCAGCCGATAATGAGCTGGAAATGAGTATATCTCCGTGTGACATGTTGTTTTTTGGAATTCCTGATTTCGAATTAATCATTTAACGCTCAGCTTTAAATATGACATCATCTCATCAGCTCTCTCTGTAATGGAGAAGCAACATTCTGGAATAAAGGACGCAATTACATAATAATAGAAACAATCCTTCCATTACAATTTGTCTGATGCTGGTAATTGCTGAAATGAAGACTTTATTGAATTTTTCATGCTCAACGGGACGTGCGAGGTTCCTGGCTGTACGCGGTATTTGGGTATATCGGGGAAAGATCACTGAACTGCCAGAGACTTCACTAGGCTGATGTATGACAGTGCAGGGCAATTAGAAAGGAGTGCGCTTATTTAGGAGCAACACCAAGCGTGGGATAGCAGTAACATGGTTGTCAGCTGTTTTTGGTATTCAGGGACAATCCCAGATTTTAAAAATGTTTGACCATTTGTTGAAAATAAAAACTATATTAGATTTGAAATTGCATAGCACAGTAAAGTCGTCACATGTCTCATTTCATTCCATCTCAAATCCCAAAAAGAAGATAACCTGTATGGGAATACTGCCAAATCTGACAATACAGCAATATATGTGGCACCCTCTATCAATGGTTGATAAACCAGTTCCCGCGCTAGAAGGTCCACAGGAAAGTGATTGCTAGGACTTTAAGTGACCTCCATCCCATGCACCAGCTTACTAGTTATGGCCTACAGGCCTACAAGCAAACATCCAGTCTGCTAAGTCAAAAAAGATAGGGAAAGTGAGCGCTAGATAAAAAAGCTGCTAAGCGCCAATAAGTACCAAAACTTAATAAAAAGACATATAAGAAAGGGCGCAGCGCTAAAATAAACTAATAAACATACAAATGTTAGTAATGACAATGTGCAAAGAACTGTGCATGTGAAGCAAAAAAGTCCTCAAAAACTCAATGGTGACTTGAAACACGTGCGTCTTCCGGTGATCAGAGTAGCAAAATTATGCACTCACCAGATGCATAATTCACATATGCATATAGATGGTATCCCGATATCCAAGCGAAGCAAGTCTTAGGCGGATAGGGTCATCATCCGGATACATCAATGCGTCCAAGTTTCTCCTCATGGATCGTGTGTTTCCACACTGGAACACCCCTCAGCTGTCCCCTAGGTAACTCTGCAAGTGAAGGACTCAGCAGGGTCTGCTTAGCTGGTCTCCTTAAACAATGGAGAGCTCCTCCCCCTTCACAGTATTTGCCCCTCAGTTAGTCAACTGATTTTCTCTTCCAGCCTCCCTGACATGGCTTCTGTTTCTCTAGCTGAGAACTCAGGTGGGCTGTCTGCTGTGTCTGTGTGCATATGGCAGTCAAAACTAGAGGAACCAGAAAGTGGTCGGCCCCCCACAGTGGCTGAAACCCGTTGGTTGCAGCCCACCACCCGGGCTCCTTGGGACGCTTGAGCCCCCTACATACTGTATGTATGGGCTGTCCCCATCTGATGGCGGCCCTGAGGAAGCCAAAATCCTTTTGGGAGAATGTGCTGTGGAATGATGATACAAAATTACAGCTTTTTGGTAAAGCTCATCGTTTTATGTTTTAGGGTTGCTTTGCTGCTTCAGGCACTGGATATCCTGACCGTGTTCATAGCATTATGAAATTTGAAGACGACCAAAGAATTCTGGGGCACAATATAGGGCCCAGTGTCAGAAAGTTGGGTCTCTGTCAGAGGTCATGGGTCTTACAGCAGGACAATGACCCAAAGCACACGGCAAAAAGCACCCAGAAAATGGTTTCAGACAAAGCGCTGGAGAGTACTGAACTGGCCAGCAATGAGTCCAGATCTCAATCCATTTGAGATCACCTGTGATCTCAAATGGATTGAGATCTGGACTCATTGCTGGCCAGTTCAGTACTCTCCAGCGCTTTGTCTGAAACCATTTCTGGGTGCTTTTTGCCGTGTGCTTTGGGTCATTGTCCTGCTGTAAGACCCATGACCTCTGACAGAGACCCAACTTTCTGACACTGGGCCCTATATTGTGCCCCAGAATTCTTTGGTCGTCTTCAAATTTCATAATGCTATGAACACGGTCAGGATATCCAGTGCCTGAAGCAGCAAAGCAACCCTAAAACATAAAACGATGAGCTTTACCAAAAAGCTGTAATTTTGTATCATCATTCCACAGCACATTCTCCCAAAAGGATTTTGGCTTCCTCAGGGCCGCCATCAGATGGGGACAGCCCATACATACAGTATGTAGGGGGCTCAAGCGTCCCAAGGAGCCCGGGTGGTGGGCTGCAACCAACGGGTTTCAGCCACTGTGGGGGGCCGACCACTTTCTGGTTCCTCTAGTTTTGACTGCCATATGCACACAGACACAGCAGACAGCCCACCTGAGTTCTCAGCTAGAGAAACAGAAGCCATGTCAGGGAGGCTGGAAGAGAAAATCAGTTGACTAACTGAGGGGCAAATACTGTGAAGGGGGAGGAGCTCTCCATTGTTTAAGGAGACCAGCTAAGCAGACCCTGCTGAGTCCTTCACTTGCAGAGTTACCTAGGGGACAGCTGAGGGGTGTTCCAGTGTGGAAACACACGATCCATGAGGAGAAACTTGGACGCATTGATGTATCCGGATGATGACCCTATCCGCCT